TACAATTTTCCAAGACAATGCTTGGTTACAACAAAAGTGGATTTAAATCCAATACAAATAAAGGCCCTTAGCATATACAAAACATATGTAACAATTAAACAAAAATGAAGCACTTGCTGCAAGTCCTCCCAAGCTATTGCCTTAGCGGAGGCATATCATCAGCACCTGAAAATATTTTTCCCACGTAGGGTGAGCCAAAGCCCATTAGAAACAATCCAACATAGTTTATGAAGTTTAACAGAGATATAAGGTGATATGCAATGCTAGGTTTATATCAAAATTTGTAACCATTTCCATTACATTAGAAAACAAGATAGTGAATCACACTTTGAGAATTTCAAAACAATACAACCTTTCTCGAAAATTTCGTTTGGAAGAAACCGTAAACCGGGACCCATGTAAACGTAGGCTATACAAGCACTACTATTACCATTTCATGGAAATTTCGTCTGTGAGATCGGCACCTATGTATACACGCGGCTTTTAGGACTTTCACCATAGACATTCAAGCAAACTTATTTCAACATGATAGCATTTACTTCCCAAATTCACCTCTTTTTCTCAAAACAATAACATTTTCAATGTTCAATGCAAATGAATAAGAAATTGGTTTTAGTTCACCTAATCCTTATGCAATTTTACAACAATCATGGTTATTTTTCATCGATTTCCCAAAACAGATATCTCTAAACAAATAAATAATTTTCCATAAAGATAACTTTCCAAATTCCAAGATGTGTGTGGTAATACATACCTAACTCCACCATTCTCATCAATATTCACTCAGTTTCACATTTCCTACATCAACTCCATATATTTATACAAAAATCAACAGGGCAAAGCCCCTTTTTCCTTCCAAAATCAATTCCAAGTATCAAAACCAACCATTTTATCACAACTCAACCTCATTTCCAATCCCACAACCATTTTCAAGATTTCATTTGAAAACCCCTCATTTGATTTTTAAACCAAAACCCTAGTTTTATCCAAAAATCCCCATCACAATGTTGTTTTAGAAATAACAAATAAATAAGTCAAAAACCATAAGAAATTGTAGAAAATCCCTATCTCGAGCTTAAAAGATGAAGAATGAAGAAAACCCCAAAAGTTGACAGAGGCAAAACAATGATTTGCTCCGATCAAAACGAAATCCTCAACAAGCTCTACACTTAATCTCAAAGAAGCAAGGTAAGGTGATGCTTCTAAGTGAGTAGATCTAAAGATCTTGTCTGAGAAAAATGAGTTTAGAGAGAGAGAGAGAGAGAGATTCACGGTTTAGATAAGAAGAGAGAGAAAGTAAAGTGAAGAAAAGAGTGAGGACCCTCTTTATAGTACTAGGTTGAAGTGAAACAAAGTCCCAAAGTCAACCCAAAAGAATAAGTCAAACCCCCAAAAAGTAAGGCCCAAAATTGAACTAAAATCTGAAAAAAGAACACAAGGGTCGACCCTCGGACCAGAGGTGTCAACCCTCAGGAGGAAATGGAAAAAACGCCAATGTTGGCAGTAGACAGGGTGCCAACCCTTGGACCAAAGGTGTCGACACCAAATTTCAGTAGCTAATTCCAGTTTCAGCAACAGACAAGGGTCGACACCTCAAAGACTGGTGTCGACCCCAGGGGCCAACAACAAAAGACAAGTGTCGACACCTCCAAAGACTGGTGACGACCCTAAATTCCAGTAGTTATCCAAGAACACAACAACAAGATGGTGCTGACACCACTAAGGCTAGTTTCGACCATAGGAGCAAAACAAGACAAATGAAGGAGGCAATGTCGACACCACCAAGGATGGTGTCGACCCCTGAAGCCAAAACCATCTCGAGAGCTTCGTTGTGTGCGGTGAAAATCGAGTTTTGATATCGTTGATTTTGGGGGTTTCATTTCATTTCTTCTTCAAAACTTGAGGTAGGGATTTTCTTATAATTATATATATATATTTGCAAGATCTATATGATTTTTGAAATCATCTTTCGATAGCTTTGAAAATTGATTGTTGATTCAAGAAGTTGAGCGATTTTGAAAGTGGGTTTGTCTCTTGTCCTTTTAAAATGATCTTATGGGTTTTGATCTTCGTTGATTGAAGAAAAGATGATTTTGAAAAGTTTTCTTTCAAAAGATTTGAGTTGTATAGTTTTGATGAGAAAACCTAGAATTTGGGGATTTTTTTTAAAAGAGACTAAAAATTCGTGAATGATATTGTTATATTTATTTTGTGTGTCAAAATAAATGGATGTTTGAAATATTTCTTATTTATATTTATATAAATGATGAATTTAAGGGAATATGAGAATTGTTGTTCATTTTGAAAATTATTATTCAAAACGTTGAAATAATCTTGAAATGACTAATTGTTGAGAATACTTGAGAATATGGAATTGTGTTATTCCTTGGATGACGAATTGGAATAAAAGTATTTATATTCATCTTGTGTTATTGGCATAACAATTTATTTGATTACATTAAACTTTGAAAGTTGATTTGAAAACTTGCATTGAGAAAAGAATATTGAGAAACAAGTTTTCATGAAATGGTTTTGGGGTAAATACGTTGGTAAGTCTTGATAAGTGGTGTAAATGATATTAAATAAGTTGGCCTGAGAGTCCAGGGTGAAAGACCGAAAACCTACGCAGATAGGTGCCGAGCCTTCCAGTTAATACCGGTAAAAATGACAATTTGGTAGTACTTGTATAGTCTACTTGCAGACACTGACCTAGGGATTACCAGAGTCGTATTTACTGCCCTTGAAATAAATTGTTAAGTTTTGAATAATTGAAATTGCATGACATCATTGAGCATAATAGTTTTCAAAAGATGAAAATGTGATTTATCTTTAAAAAGGGCATAACATGGCATGTGCATTTCATCTCTTGAGACTTGTATAAAATGTATATACTTTGTTAAGAATTTCCTATTGGACTTTATGCTCACCCTATGGGATTTTTGTGCAGGAAAAGATGCAATGATGCCACCTAACTAAAGGCGAAGAAATGTGTGTTGAGAGTACGAGACTCTCATTTTGCTATGACTTTGTATGTAAGCCAAAGGCTGTATGTGTGTGGGTTTGAATAATTGTTTTGTGTAACCAGGTTCAAGTCTTGGAAACTTGTAAACCCTTGGGGGTATTTATTTGTTTATTTACTTGTTGTTGGATTAATGTATTGTTGCATGAAGAACTATTGTATTATGTAATGTAAGTTTAAAGATTTATATTCGGTTTTCCTTGAAAGAGTCATGATTGTTGTATTATCATTTGGGTTAGAAATTTAGGACGTTACATCCTTCGAGTTTCTTCCTTGTTTTTCTCATCTTCTGGCTTTGAGGTAGGTATTTTCTACACTCTTTTATGGTTTTTAACTTAGCTATTTGTATTGTATAAAGAATATTGTGATTTTGGGAGGTTTTGAACAAACTTATGGTTTTGGATTAAAATCAAAAAAGAAATTTACAAATGGATGTGTTGGAAATGGTTATAGGAGTGAATATGAGGTTGTGTTGTAATGAAATTGTTGATTTTGATACTTAGGTTGGATTTTGAAAGGAATGGGAGTTTGCCCTAAAATGTCTCAAACATTTATTTTGTATAAATAAATGAAATTGGTATTAAAGATGTGAAATTGGATAGATGTTTATATAAATGGTGAATTTGGATATGTATTATCACTTACTTGTGAAATTTGAATAATTTACATGTCCTGGAGATGTATATCTGTTTAGAAATATCTATTTTGGGCTATCGGTGGAGGATAGCTATGATTATTGTAAAAATTGCATGAGAATTAGGTGAATTGAAACTAATTTCTCATCCATTTGCATTGAACGTTGTCACATCTTTAATATATTATAAATGTATGATGTTTTGGAGGAAAAAGGGGATGTACTCCATGTTTGGAAGAACAAAGAGGATGTACTCCATCAAATTAAGTTGGCCGGGGTGTCGAGGGTAAAAGTCTCGAAAACCACGAGTATACATGGGTGCCAATTCCCACAGACGAAATATCTGTAAAATAACAAATGAAAGTGTTTGCGTGATGGTTGTATTGATTAGAGACCCACTGAGTTGCATCCACAGTTTAGTGGTTTGAATAAAATGGAAATGACTCATGAATGGAGATGAAATGGATCGAGATGTAAGTTTGACATAGTATGATTTTGTAAAAGAGTTATAAATGATGTTATCACGGGCATTGTATGTGCATAGTACACTTATATCTTTATTAAGATTCATATATTGTGTTAGATTATTTCTACGGAGTTTTGGCTTACCCCATTTGGGAAAACCATTTTCAGGTGCTGGTGATACGCCTCAACCAAGGACTTACACTACAACAAAATGCACTTTTGGCGACTAAAAAAAATTTAGTCGTCAAAACTTGTGGAATTGGCAGCTAAATTTTTTTTAGTCGGCAAATGTATAATATTTAGCTACTAATTTTTTTTAATCGAGAAATATTGATTATTGGTGACTAAAAAAAATTTAGTCGCTAAAAATGTCACAATTAGCGACTAAAAAATATTTTAGTCGTTGTATAGATAGTTTTGGCTACTAAAATTTGTTAGTCCCCAAATGGAAAGCAAAATATTACTTTCAGACTTTTGGCGACCAAAAATTTGGTTGCCAATAATTTATTTTTAGTGATAAAAAAATATTTTAGTCGCCAAAGGATTAAAATATTTGGAAGGAAAATTTCGAATTTTGAAAAGATTTATAAAATTAATTGACAATCAAAATGTTTAGCCGCCAAATTACTACTTTTCGCGACTAAAATAATATTTAGTCGTTGGTTTTGGCTACTAAATTGTATTTTAGTCAGCATTGATCAAATTTTGTATCTTAAAGGAGGGTTTGAGATGATCTAAATAAGTGTACTTTTTGACTTTTTATGAAATATGAATTGAATATGAATTGAATTTAAAGTAATGTATTAAAAATATGATGTGATTTAAATAAAATAATGTACCTTAAATAGAATAGCGATTTTTAACTTTTTTGCTCATGCCAAACAAGGCCGACTATCCTCAGTCCTCTCCCATTTCACTCTCTCATCATCGCTCTTGTCTCTCTCTCTCTCTTTCTCTCACTCCATCGCAGGCGACCCTCCTACCAGCCACCGTACACCACTGTCGCACACGAGCACCCACCTCCTCACCGGCGACGGGACAACCCACCTCCCCACCAGCGACGGACAACAGTAACTACTTTGATTTGTGCCTCCTCCAGCTCACACCAGGTATTTCCGGCCTCTCTCTCTCTCTTTCTCTCTCTCTATATATATATATATATGTATATATATATATCTTCACCCAATTTCTAGGGTTTTATAACAAAGGATTTGTTTTTGTTTTGTTTTGTGTTTTTTTTTTTTTTTTTGGGTTATAAATCAGAGGGCTGGAGCTTCTCTTCTATCTATTTCTCACAAGAGCAACGTTTTTTCTCTCTATTCCACGTTCGCAGCAACCATTGGAGCACACCCTGGTATTTCCCCTTCTTCTTCCCCTTCCTCCCTCTCTCTCTCTCTCTCAACCATTGGAGCACACCCTGTTAAATCCAATTCATTCTTCTATTATTCTACATAATGATTCTTAATCATACTTCCATTCAATTGTAATTTTCTTCTAATCAATTAGTTTGTGTGTGATGATGTTGCTATTGTTGTTGTTGGTAGTTTATTTGTTGATGTTGTTTGGTCTATGATTTTTATTGTTGTTGTTTTCCACCCTCTTGCTCGCCATGTGTTTGACAAAATGTTGAAATGAAATTGGAACAGGCTCACTATTTACTTATTTGTTTGTTGTTAAATTCTTCAAAATCCAAGCCAAGTCCGATAAGTTCGTTACATAAAGGCCTATTTATAGGCATCCTTCGAAACCCCAATAAATTGTAATTTAACATTGACGAAAGCCATCAGTTATCATAGGATGTTCACAGATTGATTTGATTCGATTTTAAGGTGAGTCAAGAACCAAAACTGCTCTCCATTGTTTTAAAAATTTAAGAACCAAAGAGAACCTTAAAACTTTTGAAAACAAACTGTGATTGCATCAACACTTACCAAACCAAACAGTTTCACCTCTTTTGAATTCTCGTATTGTGTCAATGTTTATGTTGACATTCATAATTGGTTCTTTGCTTGAAAATAATTATCATAAAATAATAAAAATAAATAATATCTTGTCATATATTCTGGTAATATAAAACGGTTAAAAAAAACCTGCTATAGAAATGCATATCTTGGATTCCTTCACACAAATTTTTGATGAGATGAATGGTTGATGCAATAGAAATTGAATGAATTTGGTGCAAGGGATGATACCAACCACTCCATGTGATCTGTTTCTAATTGTTTTACACACCTCACCCACTTTATGCCAAATCTTGACAAACTGTTTTGCCCACTTTATGAGGATCCTTGCTCTACTAGTGTATGTAGTGAATTAATTATTTATAAATAGTAAGTTGGCACAATGTGAGTCATGTGACATAATTCATAATCTACAAAAAGTGTCAATACAAGAAATAAAAAACAAACAAAAATATTTAGTCAATAATATAAATCATAAGGATAAATAGGTGATAAAAGAATAAATTTCATTTACCAAATTTTTATTGGCACTATCTATTAATTAGCGATTAATGCCACAGAAAGGAATAGGCATGTCATATTCTGCTGTTATAAAATCCCTTTTAGGCCACTTTTGTGCGCTCCATTTTTCCACGAACGCAAATAAGGGCTGGCAATAAACTTGCATTTCCCCGTTTGACAATCAGAAATGCTAAATGCACAGAAAAAATAACACATAAAGGTACTATGTGGTAGAAATTCATCATACAAAAAAATCCCAACTACACTCTGCTTTCTGTGCATTTTCTATGTTATGTTTCTGTGCACCTAGTATTGTTGTTTTTACATTTACACCGGTCATGCGACACATATTACTTAGATAAATAAATCTGGATTTGGGACTAGTATGGTAATCGGGAATTATTTAATGAGCTTGTACCTGGTATGCTCCAACAAGATGTACAACAATTGCAATGTTGGCTATGTCAAGTAGCCAATAGGGGTTGTAGAATCCAAAACCAGTTAGAAGATTTCCCGGAGTATTATCCCCAAATGCAGCATAACCCATGCATCCACAGAGTAAATAGAACACTGTCATTACACTGATGCTCAATGAAGTTGCCTTCTTCATGGTCTTATACTCTACTGGGGGAGATTTTACAGTATCCTGAAGATGCAATGAAATTTATCAGTAAATCTATATGAGAAACACTATGATTCTTACCCAATGTTAGAGGGATGAAACGAGTTTCAAGGTTTGTACCTGTATTTCTAAGAGGATGATAGAATATGAATACGCAAAGGCAATAGCTCCGAGAGCTTGCATGCTTCTCCAGATCTTCTGTGTAGAAGTTACTGTCCCGGCTTTCGTTGCTGTCCCTATGCTGATACCCGTCATGCTTCCTTTGATACTCCCATTTTCTGCAGGAAAAACAATTTTTCCACTTGTACCAATTAACTAATAAAATATAAGTATGTATGCATAAATATATGCTAGATGGTGCCATGGCGGAGGACATTATTTAGGAGTCGTTTGATAATGTTGTGAGTTTTTTATTTTCTGTTTACATAAAAATAAAAATGAGGGAATTATACTTTTTTTTTTCCTATTTTCATGGTCATTCTTTTATCACTATGTTCTAATTTGATGCCAATATCTCTTGAAATTTGCATTGATTAGTGATGACATAGTTCTTACTTTAATTGCTACCAAAAAGTCTTGCATATATGTAGAAGAATTTCAGGTGACCATTTAAGAACAAAAACAGTTACATTGACTCAACAAAGTACTAACTAGCTGACAAAAAGCAAAACATCACATGGTTTCTTCATTTTAACTTCATTCATAATTTTCAAAGCTCTTGTGTGAGTTCATATTGAAGGGGTTATTGAAAATCCACATTTGGATTCTTTGCTTAAAACAATTCTGTTAGATGAGAATCCTGGTTCTAAGTTGGATTATTTAATAACTAAAGACCGGGCTGTGCTTCATGATCTTTTTATGCTCACAACTTTTCCATTCTCTAGATGTATATTGATAGGTATGATAATTGTAAATATGTAAGTATAAAATTTTTGCTGTATCTAAGGAGGCGAAAATGCAAAACAACCCCCGAACCACCGTACGAACGTCACAACCAGTTTCCTCATGTCAAATAGGACCTGTGACAACAGACAGAATGTCGTTAGCACATGTAGGCTGGGAGTTAGAGCCGAAAACAACTTAAACTTAACCGAAAAAGGGCGTTAAGGGGGGGTGAAAATGTAAAACAGCCCCCGGACCACCGTACGAACATCACAACCAGCTTCCTCACGTCAAATAGGTCCTGTGACAACAAACGAAATGTCGTTAGCACGTGTAGGTTGGGAGTTAGAGTCGAAAACGGCTTAAACTTAACCAAAAAATGGCGTTAAGGGGGCAAAAATGCAACATAGCCCTAGGACCACCGTATGGACGTCAAAACCAACTTCCTCACGACAAATAGGACCTATGACAACAGACGGAATGTCATTAGCACGTGTAGACTGAGAGTTAGAGCCGAAAACGGCTTAAACTTAACCAAAAAAGGGCGTTAAGGGGGCGAAAATGCAAAACAGCCCCCTGGACCACTGTACGAACATCACAACCAGCTTCCTCACGTCAAATAGGACCTGTGACAATAGATAGAATGTCGTTAGCACGTGTAAGTTGGGAGTTAGAGTCGAAAACGGCTTAAACTTAACCGAAAAATGGCGTTAAGGGGGCAAAAGTGCAAAACAGCCCCTGGACCACCGTATGGATGTCGCAACCAGCTTTCTCACGACAAATAGGACCTGTGACAACAGACGAAATGTCGTTAGCATGTGTAGGTTGGGAGTTAGAGTCAAAAACGGCTTAAACTTAACCAAAAAAGGGCGTTAAGGGGGCAAAAATGCAAAGCAGCCCTTGAATCACTATACAGACGTCACAACCAGTTTTCTCACGTCAAATAGGACCTGTGACAATAGACGGAATGTCATTAGCACGTGTAGGTTGAGAGTTAGAGCCGAAAACGCCTTAAACTTAACCAAAAAAGGGCGTTAAGGGGGGGCGAAAATTCAAAACAGCCCCCGAACCACCGTACGAACGTCACAACCAGCTTCCTTACGACAAATAGGACCTGTGACAATAAATGGAATGTTGTTAGCACGTGTAGGTTGGGAGTTAGAGCCAAAAACGGCTTAAGCGTAATCGAAAAAGGGCGTTAAGGGGGCGAAAATGCAAAACAGCCCCCGAACCACCTTTTGACTCATATGGACAGTTTTCCCATGACAAATAGGACCTGTGATAACTGACGGAACGTAATTCGAACCCGTAGGTGGGGAGTTAGAGTCAAAAACGCACTAAACTTAGTCGAAAAAGAGCGTTCTGGGGGGCGAAAATTTAAATCAGCCCCCAAACCACCGTGTGACTCACACAAACAGGTTTCCCATGACAAATAGGACTTATGACAACTGACGAAATGTAATTCGGACCCGTAGGTTGGGAGTTAGAGTCAAATACGCCCAAACCTTACTCGTAAAAGGGCATTTCGGGGAGAAAATTCAAAACAGCCCCCAAATCGCTGTGTGACTCTCACGGGCAGCTTCCCCATGACAAATAGGACTTGTGACAACTGACGGAATGTAATTCGGACCCGTACGTTAGGAGTTAGAGCCGAATACGCCCAAAACTTACTCGAAAAGGGCGTTTCGGGGGTGAAAATTGAAAACAGCCCTTGAACGACTATGTGGCTGACACGAATAGCTTCTCCATGACAAATATGACTTTTGACAACTAACAGAATGTAATTCGGACTCGTAGGTTGGAATTTAGAGCCGAATACGCCTAAATCTTAGTCGAAAAATGGCGTTTTGGGGGCGAAAATTCAAAACAGCCCTTGAACACAAACAGCTTCCCCATGCCAAATAGGACTTGTGACAATTGACGGAATGTAATCCGGACCCGTAGGATGGGATTTAGAGCCGAATACGCCCAAAACTTACTCGAAAAAGGGCGTTTTGGGGCGATAATTCAAAACGGCCCTTAAACGACCGTGTGGCTGACACGGACAGCTTCCCCATGACAAATATGACTTGTGACAACTGACGGAATGTTATTCGGATCCGTAGGTTGGGAGTTAGAGCCGAATATGCCCAAAACTTACTCGAAAAAAGGCGTTCCGGATGCGAAAATTCAAAATAGCCCCCGAACTTCCGTATGACTCTCACGGGCAGATTCCCCATGACAAATAGGACTTGTGACAACTGACAGAATGAATTGGAGATTTATAGTAATGGAAAATTATGGGGAAAATATTCAGAAACCAATATTAACTCAATTTACGCCTTGTTATATTATATTAATTTCTTGAACGTACACAAGTGTGTTATATTATATTTAAGCTTTCATACAAGTATCAAACTGTGAATAGTGTTTCTGACGCCATGTGCTTCATGAGATATCGAGTATTCTTTCTTTGATGAACCATTTATAGGTGTCTCAACATACATTTCTACATATTTCCTTTTGTGATTAAACTTTATTTTTATTATTATTTTTCTCACATTTCTAATATCCTGAATGAAATGGCACTGACAGACATTAATAAGTAGAGATAGTTTTATAGCCAATCTAATGATTCAAGTGCCTTTTGCAAACAATTAATGAGGAAGTTGGTAAAAAGAATATTTTCTATTCACATTGGGCTTTGATATTGGTTTAGCCATAGAATTTGGATACATGTTGCATACAAATAGAAGATTGTTACATTAGCTTTATGTTAGTAATGACAGATTTAGTAATGATTGTTCTGCATTTAATAATGTTCCTTATAACAAAGGACTTTAGAAAGACTGATAATTGATTCATCATGGAAGGTTATTTCTTTAATATGTTATTTGTCACTTGTTGCCAAGTTCGTTCATGAAGTTGGTCATTTTTTGGTCCAATTCTAATGTTTTTTTGTTTTTTTGTAGATGATTTTGTTGCGTAGACTTTCAGAGTAATATTTTGGTGTATGGAGAAGAAATTGTACTTTTGTATAGAAGCAATATAATACTTTTGTCATCCCCAGCTTTTGCGCAGTTAACTATTCTTGATACAGAAAACTTTTGGCAGCCAATAGATAATTACTGGCATGGTACATAAATCACCTTTTGTCGCCGTACATATATATGATTTTTTGTCGTGATACATAGATGTACTTTTGTCTTGGTACATACATCACCTTTTGTCGTTGTACAGATTATGATGGTAATTTGTACCATACCAAATGGTTATTTCACATGGTAGTAAATGTCATCCCCAGCTTTTGCGCAGTTAACTATTCTTGATACAGAAAACTTTTGGCAGCCAATAGATAATTACTGGCATGGTACATAAATCACCTTTTGTCGCCGTACATATATATGATTTTTTGTCGTGATACATAGATGTACTTTTGTCTTGGTACATACATCGCATTTTGTCGTTGTACAGATTATGATGGTAATTTGTACCATACCAAATGGTTATTTCACATAGTAGTAAATGTAATTTTTGTATATGGAGGGCTTAGCTTTTTGTATGATTTTATATTTTGTATGTAATTATTATTTTAGTTTGGACAATAGTTGGTTTGTATGTACTTTGACAGTTAAAGTTATTTATTTTTTATATACGGATGCATATTGTGGAATGATTGATAGTTTATGTATCATTTTATTTATATACGTATTACAGGTTGCATGGAATACAGATAGGTTATGGAGAAATTATAATATTTGCAATAAAACATAATATCATGTTTTTTGCGATTAAACATTTTGTAGCAAAAATAAATAAAAATAAAAAATCAAACATTTGGTGACTAAACGTTTTGTAGCCAAAAGAAAATTAAACATTTGGCGACTAAAAGTTTTGTAGCTAAAAGAAAATCAAACATTTGGCGACTAAAAGTTTTATAGCCATAAGAAAATTAAACATTTGGCGGCTAAGATATTTCGTAACTAAAAACAAAAGCTGAAGAATAAAAACATTTTTGCCGATTAAAAATTTAGTAGCCAATAATGTGGGGGTTTAGGCAACTAAATTTTTAGTAGCCAAAACAAAAACTATTTGCTAACTAAAATTTTAGTAGCCAAAAATGTCGGAGTTTAGGCGATTAAATTTTTAGTAGACAAAACAAATATTATTTGCCGACTAAAATTTTAGTTGCCAAAAAATTTTTATTTTAGGCGACTAAAATTTTAGTAGACAAAACGCTAGTATTTACTTTAGGCGACTAATAGCTAAAAAAATTTTCCGCAACTAAATCTTTGGTCATTAACAATAATTGAGGCTTTTGACAACAAAAAAAATTGGTTGCTGAAAATGTATTATTTAATTTATTTTTCAACCTTTTGGTGACTAAATATTTAGTCGGCAAATGAATATATTTGGCGACTAAAATAAGTTTAGTCGCCAATTAGCTTTCCTGACTACTTTTCAGCTACTAATTCTGCGACCAAAAAATTTAGTCGCTAAAGCTCTTCGTCAACTAAAAATTGACTTTTGGCGACTAAAAATTTAGTCGCCAAAAGTGAAAATTCATGTAAAGTTAGCTTGAGAGGACTGTGGAGCTGAATGCTCAGTTTTGTTATTTTGTATTTACTGTTGTACAAGCTTAGGGTTTTATTTGTGTTGAGCTTTTGATGTGCCAAAGCCTTGACTTGGAAAGATGTAAGCCTTTAGGCATATAATTACCTGTTTAGCTTTTATTACATTATTATTGTTTGATAACACATGCTGTAGATTCAGGCTGTTCTATTTATGAATGTATATCGCATGTGTCACCCTTTTGTACAATCGAATTTCATGTAATAGAAGGATATTATACTCTAATTTATATTGTCATTCAATTATCGTTATGAATGGTTTATTGTATTTATTTCGGTGCGTTACAAAGGCCAAAGGTTTCACATCGACACCACCACAGCCACCATTGCCACCACACTCGTCGCCGCCACCATTTGAGCTATCTAGAGATAAGTGGGCTCATAGACCGCTTCATAAGCTTATCTGGTTCAACAACTGCTATTTTCAGAATGAATCATCCACCACCTAGGATATCCAATAACTCTAGGACTGGCATCATTTAGGTATTTGCACTGTCACTGCTCCTACTTTGTCACGACCTAACCTCGGGTGCTTAGGACTGGCTTCGCAACTATCTAATTTCTAAAGTTGCCAAGGATTAATTTTAGATAAACAAATTTGATAATGCAGCGGAATAAAATAAAAGGTGTATATAAATATCTAAAGCGTATATGGGAACTATTATTTATGTAACATGAATTAGACAATAATTATAAATAAACACACACACGCACACAAAATAAATAGATAAATAAAAGAAGACACGATGTTCATCTCAAGTCTGGGTCGTGATTAATGGGTAAAACAATTCATCCTAAGTTTATTCACCTGAAAGAGTTTAACAACTATAAGTACATGGTAGAGTGAAGAATATTATATTAAGAGCATAAGGATACACAAATCATCATGGATGATTATTTAAGCTAAATAATGTATAGTTTGGTTTGAATAAATCATTTTAAATGACTGAATCATAATGCAAAAATCATATAAGTAATTTTAAATCACAGAATCATAATGCAGAAATCATATAAGTAAAATAATCATAACCACGATACAGAACAGAACAAAGGGTCAATGGATCCATGACAGATAGAGAGTCACAAAGTAACTAATCAAAGGGCCAATGGTTATTTAAGTCCCCTAAGGCATGGGACCATCGGAGGGTCACTAAAGTGACAGTTTAAAGGGCAAACGATTATTTAAATCCCTAAAGGTATGGGACCTCTATGATGGTACTTACAAAATAACTATTCAAAAACAAATTTAATAAATAGTTATATCCATGGGTTTTCATTTTTAAGTAAATAGGGTTCATGAAATAAATAACATAGTTGAAATGTTAACATAATTTATAAAGTGTGATTTACATAAAATAATTCATAAACAATAAAATAATTTATAGTTACTCAAGGTATAATATAACTCACCTCTACTTTTGATTCCTAATTTTTTTTTTTTTTTTAAACTTTTCCTTTCGTTGGGGCTTTCCTCTAGGAATGGCAACGGGGCGGGGCGGGGCCGGGGATCACCCTCCCCGTCCCCGATCCCCGATGGTGGAAATCTCCCCGTCCCCGGCCCCGAACCCCGAAGGGGAACCTATATCCGCCCCCACCCCCGCTCCCTAACGGGGATCGGGTTTCCCCGACCCCGATTAATCCCCGGCCAAAAAAAAGAAATAGATACAACAAATTCGTTCATCATCAACAACAACAACGTAGAGAAAGAAATCTGATGCTCAAATGTAAATAAAAAAAAAATTCAGATCTAATAGATCTGTTCATCACCATAACAGATCTGATGAGCTCAAAAAAAAAAAATCCAGATCTAACATATATATATATAACAAATCTCATATATATATAACAAATCGATCGAGAGAAAGAGAGAGAGAAAGACTGCCGCAAACAGTGGTGAGTTGTGGTGGCTCAATCGGCGGAGAAGGGAGATCGGCGGAGGAGGGAGAGGAGGGCGATAAAGACGGACGAGGGAGATGAGGGAGATCGGTGGAGGAGGGACAGGAGGGCGATCGGCGGAGGAGGGAGAGAGCTCGATCGGCGTCTGCGAAGGTTTGAGAGAGAGAGATGAGAGACAGTGACTGTGTGACTGTGTGATGTGAGTGAGGGCCAGCCAAACATCTAATATAATATATGTATATATTATAATAACCCTACCTAAACATATAATATATATATATTATAATAACATACGGGGATCAAACGAGGCGGGGCCGGGCCGGGCCGGGGCCGGGGGTGGGGGAATTTATCCCCGTCCCCGGCTCGAAAATCATCGGGGATTTAATTTTCAATACCATCCCCGGTCCTATGGGGATAATTTTCGGGGAAAAACCGTTCCAATCGGGGTCAGGGGATCGGGTCCCCATTGGGCCGGGTTTAAATTGCCATCCCTACTTTCCTCTTTGGTTTATTTGCTTTCTTTGATTTGGTCAACTAACCTGAGCTCTCATGTATATAGGGAATTTAAGTAGGTGAGTCACAAGTCTACCTCTACACTATAATTATGAAACTATCCCCCGTTGCTACCTAGATATGCTTAGTTGTCACCCCCATGAGACTTATCTCCTAATAGATCATTCATGGCTTAATACTTAATTACATTCTGTCCCATATACTTAAATAATTATTTTACCATATTTTTGTTAGAAAATAACAACTCTTAATTTAACTTACATTTTATCACATAAAATCACAAAATCCAATATTTTACTTTACTTTTATTATTATTACTATTATCATTATTTTTTTTAATTTGGTGTTAAAATTAATTAAACATCTGGGGTGTCACATTTCTCTCCTCCTACAAAGAAATTTGTCCCCAAACTTGTCGTACCTTAATTTTCGAAAAGATGTGGGTATTTGACCTGTATTTAATTCTCAGTTTCCCATATAGCTTCTTTGACATGATGATTTCTCCATAAGACTTTCACAAGGGGTATAGTCTTGTTTCGGAGAATCTGATCACATCAATTGAGGATTTGTACCAAGTGCTCTTCATAAGAGAGATCTCTTTAAACTTTTAGGTCCTCGTGATCAATAACATGTTCAGAGTCTCGAAGATATTCCCAGAGCATTGAAACATGAAACGCATTGTGAACATTGGGACAATTCTGGTGGTAGCGCAAAACGATATGTCACAGGGCCAATCCTTTCTAATATCTCAAATGGTCCAATGTAGCGCAGGTTCAATTTTCCTCACTTTCCAAACCATATGACTCCTCTTGTTGGTGAGACTTTTAAGAAAACATGATCCACTACTTGAAATTCCAAATCTCGTCTCCGTGTATCTACATAACTTTTCTGGCGACTCTAGGTAGTGCAAATTCACTATTGGATGAGTTGAATTTTATCACTTGTCATCTGTACATTTTCAAGACCCAATAACTTTTTGTCTCCTACATCTATCTAACATACAGGTGATCAACATTTCCTCATATACAGTGTTTCATACGGTGCCATCTCGATGCTCGCTTGGTAACTGTTGATATAGGCGAATTTCACTAATGGCAGATGCTTGTCCTAATTGCCCTTAAGGTCTAATACGCATACCCACAGCATGTCCTCCATTGTCTGAATCGTTCTTTCAGATTGTCCACTGGTTTGCAGGTTGTTCCCAAAGCTGCCTGTAACTTGTTCCAGAAATGAGATACGAAACGAGA